TTGGCAAAACCAACTACCACTGCAGTACCCCAGGGCCACATGCGACCCCCTTTTTGCATCCCTTCTGACAAGCAAAGCCAAGTGGGGGAGCCAGATTCACTAAACCCCCACGTTACTAATTTAACAGACTGCAGTGATGATTCACTTAACAACGGTGGCATGAAAAGTCCTAAAATGGGGCAAAATTCACTTTAACGGCTGCCTCGCTTAGCGACAGAAATGTTGGGCTCAAATTGTAGTGGTAAGTTGACTCCCTGTGTGCACGGGGCAGAGGTTAGCTGGCGGAACTGCCTGCTACAAGAGACAGTTATGGCAGATGAATGCTACAGCGCCAGGAATAATCACACAGCAATTAAGAGAGGCGGCCATTATGTCGCACCCAAGGGCTCGTTCCGCTCCCTCCTTCGAATCACAAGGAGCGGCAGCAAAGAATAGAAATCTTCACTCCGCTATCCAGGACCACAGACGTCGTCGTGGGTTTATTTTTAGGCCTTCTTCTATCCTCCAGCACTTCCGGCGAGATCTGGTAATATAATACAAGGAGAACTCTATCTATGAAGTTACGTGGGGTGGAGTACGTGCCACTGCGCGCCCTTCCGTCGATCTGGGCCGGAGGAACTGAGATCCTCAAGAATTTGGCCCTGTGCTTCTCAAGGAAAGGGAAAGAATTTGCAACCGATCCCTTACTGTAGGACAGACTCTACGTCCGGGAGAGCGGGAATCAAGGAAAGTGGTGCAAAAGCAGCCCAGAGGGGAAAATAGGTTCTTCCTGCAGGGACTGACCCGCCTCTCACCAACCGCGGCGCAAATGAAGCGTCGCGGCAAACTTAGTTAAGATTCCGGCTCATCTGCGCACTGTTCAAAAAGGCTCTTTGCGCCTTTCGTCGTTTGAGTTTTCTCTCTCCCTCCCTCTCTCTCTCTCCCCCTCCCTCTCCTCTCTTCCGCTTTCTCTCGCTCCTCCCTCCTTTTCCTTCCCTCTCCCTCTCCCTCCCTTCATCTCCTCCCTCTTTCCCCCCTCTTCCTCTCCTCTCTCCCGCTTTCTCTCGCTCCTCCCTCCTTTTCCTTCTCTCCCTCCCTTCATCTCCCTCCTTTCTCCCTCTCCTCTCTCCCTTCATCTCCTTCTCCCTCTTTCCCTCCCTCTCTCTTCCTCTCCCGCTTTCTCTCGCTCCTCCCTCCTTCTCTCCCTTTCATCTCCTCCCTTTCTCTTCCTCTCCTCTCTCCCTCCCTTTCCTTCTTTCCCTCCCTTCATCTCCTTCTCCCACTCTCTTCCTCTCCTCTCTCCCGCTTTCTCTCGCTCCTCCCTTTCCTTCTCCCTCCCTTCATCTCCTTCTCCCTCTTTCCCTCCCTCCCTCTCTCTTCCTCTCCTCCCCCGCAACCCCGCTCTCTCTTTTTCTCCCTCTCTCTGCCAATCTCCCCCAAGGCTTTTTATACGATTCCTTCTAATTCCTTATATTTAAGTTGGGAGGAATCTGTGTATGCCAGCCCCCAAAGGAACGAAATGTTGCAGGTTGTTACGAAGCTGCGAATTAGGCTTCTTTTTTCTTTTTTTTTTCTTTTTTGCACCGAGGGCGTCCCGCTTCCACCGCTCGTAGCGTTACTTCCCCGTCCGTTTCGGCCGCGACTGCGGAGCCTTCTTGAAAGACGCTCCCTTGACCGTTTCAAGTCTCCCCTCCCTTCCCCTCCCGTCTTTCCAAAAGCGCCGTTCGGTGCCTCCCAGTCCGCTGCGTCCCCGGATTTGAGGGCCGCTTTCGCTGCGAAAAGCAAACCGTTTCGGGGAGAACGGGCATTCCCCTGCCCCCACAAAGATTTAGCAGCCAGCGATTCCCTCGACTCAGTTTCCCGCCCGTTCCCCTCGAATCTTCCCAAGTCTGGGGCGTCCAGCTTCCAGGCCCAAAAGCTTGTTTATGCGAAGAATTTCTCCTCTCTTAAAAGGGCGACGGCTGCATTGCACTAGGGACCAGCCTCAAGCTGTTTCGTGTTTGCGCGCGCGCACACACACACACACACACACTCGCGAGCTATAGATATAGGAATGACACAATCCCACTTCCCTCCCAGTTCCCAATCAAGTGCAGGTTGAACATGCGTATAAGTTACACCCGATGTCAGCGGGGCTCGGAAAAACACCAAAAAGAGAGCAAAATGTGGTTGGGGCATTTGATTCGCCGTAGCAACCAGCTCTCAGTTGCAGCCATTTGGCAAATAATTTCCGGAGCGACAACCGCGCGTCCTGTATTCTAATGCATAGGCGAGTCTTTAGGATATAAGTTGAGGCTAAGCACTCGCTCGTTGTTCCAAGCTGTTCCGTGAACATTATATCTATATCTATCTATCTATCTATCTATCTATCTATCTATCTATCTATCTAT